TTTTTTTTTTTTTTTTTCAGAGAGAATTAATGTTCATGGCTCTCATGTTCCTAAAACATGGACTCCAGAATCATGTGCCTATTGTATGAGACCATACACAGAAGAGGATATATCACATGAAAAGTGTGTGCCTGGTCCTCAAATTGTTCCTGAAACATGTGAAATATCACTCAAGGAGTTTGTTCAAATTCCTGGTAATAGGTTTTCTGCATTAAGAACATTATTTGTTGATGTTACTTCCTTGGATGTTGTTGATACAACAAAGATTGGGAGAGTTCTTGGACTTGATATGTTGGAAGATTTTGTTTTTTCTCATAAGGCGGGGAAAAGTTGGAATGAGAAGTTTGACTTGAATACTATAGTTGTCATTGATGGAGCTAATGCGGAAATCCGCGCTATTTATTGTGACAAGTTCTGTGAAGAGGCAACACTGAATGACTTCTTCAGTTACATTTGTACGATTGTTGAGCTATTTAGAATAGAAGGGTTTGGTCTCCCAGCATTCTTCAACCGGTTGATCAATAACTTGTCAAACCCTCCCAGCAGACCTTCAGTGTGTAGCCAACATCAACTGGAGGGCTTCCGACATCGTCTTAATGGCTTCTGGGATTGTGTATTGACTACCATGGCACTGAGGACCTCTTCGGCTAGAGCTGGATTATTTACAGGAATTCATAAGATATGGCGCTTCGCCCCAGAGAAAGTGAGACGTGCTCTGAGAAGTGTATTGTCAAGTACAGATCCACCTCAGATTACATCTGATTGGAGAGATTCAATTGCTGAAAGAGGACATCCAGTCCTCAAAAAGGTTTTACGGTACATTCCTGGCGATTCATATCAAAACAACAAAAAGGCTAAGGAGGGTGAAGATCCGGACAGGCAGTTTGGGCTTTATGAACATGATGTTGGCAGCTTGTCTGTTTTTCCAAGACAAGTAAATGAACATGGAAGTCTAAGGTGAATATTTTATTTCCTGTTTTCTGTTTGTTTCACTGATTTTCCTGGATCCACCTTCACAGTAGTAATTCTGGTATGAAAATCAGTGAAACAAACAGAAAACAGGAAATAAAATATTCACCTTAGACTTTCCATGTTCATTTACTTGTCTTGGAAAAACAGACAAGCTGCCAACATCAGGTTCATAAAGCCCAAACTTCCTATCCGGATCTTCACCCTCTTTAACCTTTTTGTTGTTTTGATCTGAATCGCCAGAAATGTACCGTAAAACCTTTTTGAGGACTGGATGTCCTCTTTCTTCAATTAAATCTCTCCAATCAGATGTAATCTGAGGTGGATCTGTACTTGACAATACACCTCTCAGAGCACGTCTCACTTCCTCTGGGGCGAAACGCCGTATCTTATGAATTCCTGTAAATAATCCAGCTCTAGCCGAAGAGGACCTCAGTGCCATGGTAGTCAATACACAATCCCAGAAGCCATTAAGACGATGTCGGAAGCCCTCCGGTTGATGTTGGCTACACACTGAAGGTCTGCTGGGAGGGTTTGACAAGTTATTGGTCAACCGGTTGAAGAATGCTGGGAGACCAAACCCTTCTGTTCTAAATAGCTCAACAATCGTACAAATGTAACTGAAGAAGTCATTAAGTGTTGTCTCTTCACAGAACTTGTCACAATAAGTAGCGCGGATTTCCGCATTAGCTCCATCAATGACAACTATAGTATTCAAGTCAAACTTCTCATTCCAACTTTTCCCCGCCTTATGAGAAAAAACAATATCTTCCAACAAATCAAGTCCAAGAACTCTCACAATCTTTGTTGTATCAACAACATCCAATGAAGTACCATCAGCAAATAATGTTCTTAATGCAGAGAACCTATTACCAGGAATCTGAACAAACTCCTCGAGTGATATTTCCCATGTTTCAGGAACAATTTGAGGACCAGGCACACACTTCTCATGTGATATATCCTCTTCTGTGTATGGTCTCATATAACAGGCACATGATTCTGGAGTCCATGTTTAGGAACATGAGAGCCATGAATATTAATTCTCTCTGAAAAAGAAAAAAAAAATCAGCCTTCGCATAATACAACAATGAGGGCAAAATTCATTGCTTATTGCCACAACCGACTGTGCACTAATTTTCTTCAATGTAACATGCACTTTCAAACAACCAACATGACTTGCAAGAAAGATAAGATTTCATGTATACGGTAATAGTATGTATATAGCATACAAATATCACCGATAGAAATAGAAATGAAAAAGAAAGACTAGTTATAAATCAAATGTGATGGTAACATAGTAAAAATGAGAACAAAGTCATTGCAGTTACAGATATATTTGATTTCACCAACCAGTAAAAAAAAATGTAACAAAGCATCAAAAGGTTCATTTTATGGTCAATGTTAAGCATACCAAATGAGCTGCATCGGATGCCGAATGCAATTGTGTAAAGCTGCGGTTCAAACACAATCAATCACCATGTGATATAATCCCTTTTGAATCTTGTTTCATTAATGAGGTAGATGCTTTGGAGGTACTTGTTTCAGGAGCAGAGAGAGAACCCTGAAGAAAGAGCACACAGTACACAGTTTAATCCTCAGTATAATATAACAATGAACAAGACAAAATGCAAGCTACCATCAATTGTAATATAATAATGAACAAGAACAAAGGCAACACGACTTGCAAGGGAGCAAAAATTTCATGTATATGAGGAGTAAATTGCATTTGGATGTCTACAGTATACATATATCACAGATAGAAATGGAAATGGAAATGGAAAAAGAAAAGATTACACGATGACAACAAAGCATAGCAGGTACAGATATATTTGATTTTGCAAACATAGTAAACGATTTATTTTTTGGTCCACGTTATACATTCCAAAGGAGTTGCATCAAGCCCCGTATAAATTGGTGTGAAGTTGCTGTCCAAATATACTCCGCCACTATTGACCTAACAAGCCACAGCTAATAATGGGCACAAGTTCCATCTCAATCACACAAAGAAATTATGAAAAATTCAGAATAGCATACCTCAAGCGTCTGCCAAAATGCATTAGTTCTTAAATAATTTGAATTAGTGACTAAAGAAAGTACAACTCCATTGACCTGCATAAGATCAAAACGGGTCAAAAAGGGAAAATAGAAGGCAGCTAAGCATAGCCCCTAACTGTAATAAAATACAGCAAATGTTGAGTCTCACCTTAACTATAGTATTGTAATGATAGTGCCAGTACATAATACATGGAACGTTTTCAACAAGGTCTTCATGTAGGGAAACCAAGTTGTAGCATTCGCACATGGTTATTTAAAATGCTAACAAGTGGCAAACAACAAAAGTTTCCAACCAGAACAGACTGCACATAGAAAAAGGACAATTAGATAATTTACCCGGTGGGAGTAAGTTGATTTCCCCTTAAAAACTTCTAGACCGTCTCCGCTAAAAACATTGAACAAAAGCAATAGCAGCAATGAAAAAGTTTGGTCAAACAATGTGTAGCTGAAAAATAAAACTAACCATGAGGAAAATCTGGTTCACAAGCCGCCAGACTAAGAGTGTCCAATAATACTTCGGGTCCAGGCAACAAATCCTAATAATTAGTATCATGATATTAGCTGACCACGTCATATAAAATGATTGCGACTGAATTAAAAAATTTGCACTAACAACATAATCAATGCCCATGATAAACTTGCTTACCCTAGTAGCAATCCAACTATGTCGAACATTAAGATCCAAGCAATCAAGAAGTAACCACTCTGGTGTCTTCAAAAAACCATCCGTCCTGCAGTGTGAAAATTGCAAATATCAGAACACCAGCAGCCAGCCTAAACTACAAAGCAAAGAGACAGAACCAATATGGAAAGCTAGAACTACAATCACCGATAATGTCCACGTCAAACCCTTTGGCCAGTGTCGGTGCCACATCCCATATCATTCTTTGTATTTCAGGATAATGGGCCTATTGAAAAAATATATATTTATATCCACAACCTTAGGCTGAAGGCCATGAATGCAACCAAAATCGAGTTTGCAATAGCTGCGAACCTGCATTTTCGCACTTCCGCTTATAAGAGAGTAGACAAGGTCAAGTAGATAATCGATTGAAACCACAGTTTCACATGCTCCAAAAAAGATGTCCCCCTTGAGTAGTAGCACATTGCCTGTGGTGAAAACAGAATAAATCCAAATCATGAGGAAATAAAATAAAATACAAAAGTTGAATAATAGCATTTTTACCAAGGTAACAACTTCAGCCTGACAATCATTAAAGCTTTTGTAGACACCAACAACATCGCCTTTGCGAACAACAAAGAATTCCTCCTTGTCCTTCATCAGTGGTTTCGTCTCGACTTTCCTCTTACGTGAACTTCCGGTCGTAGCCTTTTTTGAATAATAACATTTCGACTGAAATCTTGCCACAAACAATCCCAAGTTTACTTTTCCACCACCCGAGTTCGGGAAGCTCTCCACCCGTGAGGGATATAAATACCCACAAGATGGGCTCTTTCGAACAAGAAAACTGCCCCTCGATAATATATTCGAACAACACGTATAGAACAAACCAATCATTCCAGAGTTGTCTCCTTTGTATCCCCCAGAGATTCTGCAATCACCGTAATACTATATATCTGTCATCGGTATTCCAGGAAGCTACTGGAACTCCACTATCGCCCCTTAGCTTTAGCTCTTACTTCGGCCTGCGCACTTGGACATCATCGAAATAGAGGGGCCTTCGCAGCCCTGGATTTCTCGACTTGACTTAAGTCGTTGGTAATAGCGATTAATACTCGATCATAACCACATTTTCTTCACTCATGCAGAAATTCAAAACAAATGCATAAAAACAAACACAGATGAGCATACTATCACAAGAAACAAACATGAGAAAATTAACAAGAACAAATATATCCCTACAAAAAAAGGGGAAGAAGACAGTAATATTGAAAAATTTGACCTAATTAATCAAGGCCCGTTTATTACCACCAAGTTTATCAATCAAACAGTTGAATAATACAAAAAAACAAACATTTCAAACCTCGCTTTGAAGAAGTGAGTTAGCAAAGGAGCGTAAGCATAAAAGGAGAAAATTATAATAAAAAAAAGGAAAGGTTATAGATTCAGCTCAGAAACGGAATAATCGAAATCGAAATCGAAATCGAAACAAAATGGAGATCCGATCAACAAATACCTTAAATCTAAGTGAGCTCCAAAATCTCCGGTGAATTTCAAAGCCCTTTTACTCTCTCTGCATCTTGAAAGGTTCAAGCAGTCCTCCGCGGTTGGGTCGGGCCGTCGTGGACGAAAGTGGAGACAACATATATTTTTTCTTTACGCTAAATGGGCTTTCCTTCTTGTTGGACTTCTATTTTCTGGACTTACCATGGCCTGGCCCATAGGCATGTCTAGACCAATGATGCCGAGTATATTGAGGAATTTGCACGTGGTACGTATAGTTTCAGTTTTTATTGCATAAATATGGTAAAAATGGTAAATATTAGCATGTTAACATAATTTAATGATTTTATTTGCAAAAATACCACATATAGTTAAATCTGATGCAATCAAGATAATGCATAATTAAAGGAAAAAAATTTATCACATTCCAAATAACTATTCCCTATTTAATTGGTAACTCTCACACATCGGTAACCCCCCACATTCAACACACTTCTTCCTCATCTCTCACCCACAATGTTGTAACTGAAATATCTCCCTCATCTCTCTTCCAAAACGTCCCGTACACTCGCTTTCGCACATGGCAAGAACTAAGTTCGGAAGAAGTCTGATCTTCGGCTCCGAGTTACCCCTATCTCTTCTTGTCCAGTTTTCCATTCTTCTCCCATTTTTATGTTCTTTTTTTTCTGATTGGTTTCTCTCTGTTTTTATTTTTCTTTTTATGATCGTGGAAGACGGCGGCGATGGCCGCCACCGACTCCAACGCTTTCGCAAAAAAAAAAAAAAAATAAGTTTTTTTTTTCCGCATGAATATGAAAAAAAAAAATTTGAGCTGGAGTTTGACAAAGCTTTTCGACCCAATCGCGTTTCGGTCGTTTTGATAAACAACTCGACGCCTGGATCTGGAGTTATTATTAGTATATGTTTTGTATATGTTCGGTATACATATATAAACCCAGAAAATAGTATATGTTTGGTATATATATGTTCGGTATATGTTCTGTATATGTTCGGTATACTTATATAAAATTATATATATATATATATACATCAGATCTGAAAAAACCCTGAAAACATACTACATATATACATAAATCAGGTTCAAACGAAGATAATACCTGATTTTTTTCGGATATATTTGTAATCGTGTATATTATATATTTGGCAATTATGAGAAAAGATTTTTGTAATTGGCGTGATCGTAGGGAGCATTTTAGTTTGGTAACTGATCTTTATTTACTCAACCCAAATAAATCCATTTTATTAGTTATAGATACATATAAAAACACCCACCTTGTACGAATGAAATAATTTTAATATTTTGTGGTTATCTTAAAATTTCCTCGAGTATATTTGCACTAGAGGTGGCCATTTAATGGGCCGGATCACGGTCCAGTCTGGCCCTCCGGGCCGACGGGCCTCAAATTCATGGCCCTTGACCGACCCTAAACCGACAGGTCACTGATTCGCTGGTTTTTGACCGGATCCGGTCCGGTTCGGCCAATTTTTTTTTTTAAAAAAAAGAAAAATAACACAACACTGCTCATTTTTCAATTTGCGGCCCAGACCGTCGGGACAAAAAAGAAAAAAAAAAGTAAAGAAACGAAACCTACTCGTAACCACGGTTCCGGTTCATGGAACCGCCAAGTTTGGGCCGGTTAAGGGCCGGTCCGGGACCGGTTCGGCGCCGGTACGGTGGGCCGGCCGGGTCGGCCCTTGGTTGGAAACGCGGATATATTGTGAGACGATGAGATGAAAGAGACCAAAAAACTCAGGACGAGAAATGAAGAGTGGACTGAATT